CCAGGACTCAGACCAAAACTCCATGGCAGGTCAACTCTACAGCCCCCAGAGCACAGGGGCCTAGGAGGGGGCACTGAGTCCCCCACCCGCGGGCAGCCCTCACTCTTGGAAGCTGTCAGCCAGTTGGTGGCAGTCCAGCTCCCCCTTGGGTTCCAAGCCCCCTGGAAGCTTCACCCCTGTCTTCCGATCCACACACCAGCACTTGCCACGCTGTCCGTCCAGGGCGGGGTGACACTGTCAAGACAAGGATGTGAGAGGTCAGCTCCCAGGAAGGCCAAAAGAGCCCAGGTAGACCACCCCACCTCCAGTCCAGCCCCCAGATCAGACAGGTGCTCTTCCAACATGATATCTGAAGGCCAGGGCTCTTTTTGAGCACCAGTCACTAGAGCTCACTGAAGCGGGGAGATTTGTCCAAGGGAGGTTCTAGAACCTTCTGGTCAGGGACCTAAGAAGGTCCTCAGACTTCAAGGCACAGATGGACTGTAAAGGCTGGGTGCATTGAAGATGCTTCAGGTGTGTCGTGAATAGGACTGGAAGCGTGGGGTTAGAGCTGGGAGCAGGATCCAAGTCAGGGTGAAGGTAGCAGCATCAGGACCACAGCTGAAGATGGGTTAGGGAGTATGGTTAAAATGACGAAACTGGATAATTCTGCACTTTCTCCTTGTTTTTCCACAAACCCCAAAACTGTTCTAAAAAAATGGTCAGGTGTTTTTGTTTTGGTTTGTTTAATTAAGGGGTGGGGGGCTATTAGGAATTGAGACATGGAATTTGTGTTTGGACGCAGGCTGAAGATAGACCAGGCACTGGTTCCGAGAAGCCTTCTCTGGCCCGGCACTTGTGATACACAACGCCACACCCTCACCTTGCTACACTGGGATGTACAGACCCAGGACAGTAGTGTTATCCTCCTAGTGAGGCCTCTGCTGGGGACGTTTCCGTAGTGGGAGGCCGACATGTGTGCCTACAGTCACATGACCTAGGGGAGAACCAGGCCAAGGATCCCCAGACCACATTCAGCATAAGACACTCCAGTCCCTCGCCCAGATACACCACCCTCCTGATGGGCTGAGATGAGATGGAGCAAGCTGCCCCTGCTGTTCATGCCAGCGATGCCAGGCATTCTGAAGGAGTGAACATGATGCCACGGCCTGCTTCCTTCTCTCCTGACCCCTCTTTCCTCTGCTTCCACCAGACCTGGCTCTGCCTCCATCTTTGCTGCCCCCGGGAATCTGAGCTCAGCTGCGGAACTGTGAGCTCTCTCCTCCTTGACCTCTCGTAACTTGGGCTCCATCCCTAAACCCAGATGACGCTTCAGACATTCAGAGACAAGGAGCACTACTTTGAGGAAAGGAGGAGGGGGAGTGTTTGGAGCGGGGTTTGCATACATCACAGATGGGGAATCCTGAGCAAAGAGCCCTGGGGGAAGACAAGTTCTGCCGTGAACTCACTCAGTGGTGTGGGCTGGCCAGGGTCCTTCTACCCCTCTCTGAGTCTGTCTCTCCTCTTCAAAAGACTGAGATGGACAGAACATGCTGAGGGTCTTAGGCTAGCCCAAATGGTTGGGTTGGATTTGGGGAGCTTCCCTTCCTAAGAGCTCTCTTTGGGAACATCCTGCGGAGAGCCAGGAGTTCCCCAGGATGAGGCCAGGACCTCGCAGCAGGAAGGGAGACCCACCTGTTTGGGGTGGAAGTTGCCGTTGCGGTCACAGTTGGGAATGGGGATGATGAAGAGGTCCTCGTGGGTACGGCTCTGCGAGGCGGCCAGCCGCTCCAGGGCCCGGTGCAGCTCGCTCTGACAGGAACCCTGGGGCTGGAGGATGAGGAACAAAAGTGCTCAGCAGAAGAGAAAGGCAGGAAGACCAGGTTGGGGCTCTGAGCTTAAAGGGGGCTAAAGGCCCTGTGCGAAGAGTCAAAGCCTGGGTACTAGGCAGGGGCACAAGAAGTGGAAGCAGAGATTCAGGCTCAGCTAACAATGGTGGTCACTAAAGCAGGTGGTGGCGGCACACATCTGCAATCCCAGCACTCTGGAAGCAGAGGCAGGAGGATTATTGTAAGTTCAAGGCTAGCCTGGTACACATAGGAAGTTCTAGGCCAGCCTGGGCTACAAAGTGAGACCCTGTCTCACAAGAAATAATCAGGGGGAAAAAAGAGGAAGAGAGAGAGAGAGAGAGAGAGAGAGAGAGAGAGAGAGAGAGAGAGAGAGAGAGACTTTAAAGGGGAGAGTGGTGAGGGAAGAGAGAGGCCTTGGGAACTTAGAGGCCTAAGCAAAAGAAATAAACAAGGTGACACTCAGGCTTGAGCCCACTGGAACAATTAGCCAGACCCTAGAATAGGATCCTAAACCCTCTTGCTATGGCCAGCTTATTAAACCCTTTTGTTTCTAAGACTTGGCAGAGAATCCAAGAAAAAGGACCAAAAGCTAGACACTGCACGCCTTTAATCCCAGCACTTGGGAGACAGAGGCAGGCAGATCTCTTTGAGTTCAAGGCCAGTCTGATCTATATAGTGAGTACCAGGACAGCCAGAGCAACACAGAGAAAACTTGTCTCTCAAAAAAAAAAAAAAAAACAGGAAGAAAAAAAAAGAAAGAAAAAGGAAAAAGAAACATTAGGGAGCTTGGACCCCGTTTTTACCGGTCAACTCAACTCCATCATATTTACGTGCAGGGTAGAAAAGGAATCACAGAGAGAGATGGGGATTCTCCCCAGGCTCTCATGAGGTACATCTTGCACACACAGGAGGCTTTTACGCCAGATCTAGTCATGAAATTTCTCTAAGCACACCCATGTGTGGGTCAGAGGTGCTCACCACAGGACGGGGTTCCTCCCGGGGTGTCCCCACGACCTTCATCTTGCTCCGGTCTCGCATTTTGGCCATATGCTTCTGCAGGCACCGATGATCGTGGGCACTGCAGGGGCTGAAGCTGTTGTTGGGATGCTCGCTCTCATCCTTGTCTGTAGGGAGAAAGGCAGAGGTCCGCATCAGAAAGGAACAGAGGTTCCCGCTCCTCCAAGCCTCCACCTGCTTCCTCCTCCACCGGGAGTCTCCACAGAGCCTGAAACAGGAGCAGCCCCCACCTCCACCCCACTTCTCTGGATGTCTTTGGAAGAATATTCCTCTTGAAGTCCTTGACTTGTTCCTCACCCCACCCAGTTCAGGATTCAGAAAAGTCACCAGCTGCAGCCGCCCAGATGGCAGGGGGGATCCCTTGGGCCCTGCAGGGAGGTCTGAGGCAGGCAGTGGGAGGGGGGGAACTACTGGATCTTCTACCCCCTCTGTTCAGCTCCTCCCACCATCCCCCTCTCCATCTGCTCACTCTTCCTGTCTCCTTCCCTGCTCTTTCAGCATCTGGCTGAGCCTGCCAGGGATCCCTAGGGCCAAAATCATATTTTCCATGAGCGAGGAGTCTGGCCCTAAAGGTTCTCGCACTGTCTGGGTCTGTTAGTGTGTGTGCCTGCGTGTGTGCCTGCGTGTGTGTGTGTGTGTGTGTGTGTGTGTGTG